GTGTTTCAGATCAATTTAAAACCAACAAGGAACAAAAAAGAATAACCAATAAAATAGAATGAAATGTTACCCTAATACCAGTTTAAAAAGACGAGTCTTAAGCTGCTTTTTGAATGAGTCCATTGAGATCACAGATCATAGACTGGAGGGCAGTGGATTCTAGAGTGATTGCAAATGTCACCTTCAGTTTTTTGTCTAAATTTGGGGATGAATAACAATCCCTGATCAGAAGACCTGAAAGTCCTGCTGGTGACATATGGCTGCAAAGGTTTGTTAATATAATGCTTAACTGTGCAGAGACCTAATGTGAACATTCGAAGTCTGATAGGGAGCCAGTGCAGTAAAATCAGCCAACCCAGTATCACAGCAAAAGACCTGCTGTTCCATTGTGTAGTTGCCATGGTTTGCCTCTTCTAGGCATGAAATGCGTTGATCAGCAAGCGTGTGACATGACAATTTTTGGAGGATCTGGTGCAGACCATTACCTGTAGCTGTAGGCGATCCAAGGAGCACGGTGTCAGGTTTAAACCACCACGACACCAACAGTAAAAACACTGACCTCGCTGGGAGTTTCTAAACAATCAGTGACATCAGGGTGGGTGTGCACATCGTTCATATACGGTTTATGTATGCGATTTACAGTTACTTTCACTTCATCTTCTAATTGTTTTCATAATTCACGAGTAGTTGTAAGAATACTTGAACGATGAATTTAGTCTTAGTCTTCTTCTAAATTAAAAGATAAGGATCTAAAAATCAAACAGACTGCTATGTCAGTATGGCTTCTCATTTGCATTACATTTGCATTTTAATTAACACCATTTATAGAAGCCTGGAGTTGTACAGCTTTGTAACATTTTAGAATACTATGGATGAAAGGGTAGACTAGATCGAATTTATACAGATCCTTTGGATCAAAGTGCACATGTTCATGGATGCAGATGGGATGGTGAATATTCTTGTGTACAGGAATCAGCAATATGCTGCTTTAGAATTTTTTTTTCTTTTAAACGTGCTGTATTTCATTTTAAAGAATACAATGTCTAAAACATAACGATCAGTTTTATTGTAGCTCACAAATGACTGTACATTATTATATAATTATGTATCCAAGTCTTTTACTAATTCAAATCTAATCTAAATATGAATCGTGGATGTTTGTGGTACTATGCACAAATCATGTACTGGCATTTTAAAAATGCTTCCTCAGCAGTGTGTATTTTGTCACACGAGTCATGCATCAATTTAATCGCCAAAGCTGTCAAAACCAGCTTGTTTCCAAGAAAAGCTATTAATTTGTTACATTTGACAAACGGCTTCTTTCTTGGTGATCTATGAACACTGATTAAAGACAGTTTCCTGTAGAATCAAAAAGAGTTTGAGGGCTGATGACTCAATGATTCTTATCCCTTCACTAATGTTCATTCAGTGCCTGCCTGAGGAATTCATACAAACTATATCAGGTCAGGAGTGCTCTAGCCCAATTTCTAGTGACCCACATTTTTCCGAGTTAGGCGGTTAACATCCACGGGAGATGCATTAGAAAATAAATGAATAATAAATGAAACACTGATGCACTGAGAAGTCTATTCTTTAAGCAATGATTAACCCATCTCAATGTGTACTGTACACATGTGTTTGAGCATGAGCTCTTAAGAGAAAAAAATGACAAATCCTTGGTAAAGACACATGAAAATACTGATTTATGATCACCACTGAATATGTATCCAATTACAACACTCTAAGTAGACATTCCTCA